ACCAAGATGGCTGCCGCAAGCACAAGTGCTTCGTCAGTTGTATATTGAAGTAAAACAGGATGTCGTAGGAGGTGTGCTACATGTTTATTATAAAATTAATAAAACCAACCCTTGTCTGTCTGCAAAAAAATCCAGTGCACAAGAAGTGCACGTGAATAAATTATCACTTGTTTTTTTTAAATAAATCCTTTTTAGATTAAATTGTGTGAATATGTTTCATGTAACTATTTAAATGCCTGCTAAATGGGGACCTTAAGCAGCCGCTTGGTTTGCTTATAAACCTGGATGTTACTCACAGTCCACAAATAAACCCCAGTAACTAGTCTTCTACTATTACTACCACTTATAATAGATAGATTACTAATGTTGTGTGTGCAACTTTAATGTCTTATTGTAACAGAAAAAACTAGAAGGATACTATGACTTCTTGCAGTGTTTTTATGTTTGTTATAAGTATCTAACCTGCAGTCAGACTGCTCTTAATCTCAGTCAATAGAACGGCCAGTCAAAGTCAAAATCATAAAACAGTCTTGAAAAATGGCTGCACAGACCAGTCTGTCTTTGTGTTGACTCTGGTCGTTCAAAAATCACAGATGGAACTGATCCCTTCCTACAGAGGTAGATGAAGCTCAATGCATTAAATGTGTGATGGACGCCTCCGTATTGTTTTCAAAGCAGGTTGAATCTTTAATCTCTGATCTTTCATATTTAATCCTGTTTATGATGTTCAGTCGTAGAGAAGGGGACTTTTGGTCTGGGACCTCTGGGTTGTATCTGTGCTTTTTGGAGATGATGTAGTTCTGTCGGTGTCTTCAAGCAATGGTCCTCGGTGTGAACTGAACTTGTTCTCAGGTGGGTGTGAAGTAGCTGAGAACAGAGTCAGCTACTCTAAAAATGAGATCATGGTTTTTGGTCGAAACACCGCAAAATTCTTCTTGCAGATCGCTGTTGAAGCAATCTTTGTTGATTTTGTTTTCCCCTTAAATGAATCAATCATACCAGCCTGGTTTTAAAGCCCAAATACTACACACATTAATCCAAACGCTGTGTTTGTTTAAAGAAAAGGCCCTGTCTCACCTGTGTTGAACTGGAGCTCTCGTTGTGTTTGCACACAGTTTTGCAAGCGAACCCAAGCCCCACTGTCTAATATAATTAGACACTTTGACTCAAGAGTTTACTGCAAGAGCAAACAAAGCGCTCGCTCGCTGATCCTGCTGCATCAGGATGTTGGCTGTTGGGCATGTCAACAAACGTGCCGTCATTCCAACCGGACACGTTTGCTGCAAACCTCCGCAGAGTCCAGAGCTGCAATGTGGAAGGTTAGCAAATAAAAAGCCTTGAAGGAAACAAACTGTGCAAAAAAGAGAATGCATCCTGTTGGGCTACATGTGCTGTCAGATGCGTATTATTCTGCATGTATGATGAAACCAAACAACATGCTCATCAAACTTCCTGGAACGTCTGCAGAGACGTAAACCGACTTTGGTTGCTCTGTGTCTACTGCTTCCTAAAGCAGGTACCAAGACAATGGAGGCTATGTGATTACAGCTAAATGCTTTATATTGGGAGATGGTTTCGAAAGTGATCCTCAAAACAAAGGCCTGACTTTGACAGCTGAGGTTCTCTCTTCGGAATAATGACAGACAGCGGAGGGAACGAGGAAACAGATAAAGGCGGAGAAGATGACACCGCTGGGTGCTGTTCTCTCTTCCTGACACAATGAAATCATGCCAATTTTTGTAACTCACACCAGTTCTTTGTAAAGAACATGTTGATACGGCGCTTATGGTAATAACCGGGTAGGAATCTGTGATAACACTTGCCACAGAGAGCCCTTCTCAAAATGATTCAGACGCTACATTAAAAGCTGTGATGAGATAAGAATCAGATGTGGTGAGGATGAGGAAACGGTGTCAGAGAGGAGAGGTGTGTTAACTTTAGGTGTCCCGGGTATTTTAGAGCAGGTGAGCTCAGGGTGTTTTTCTTGGCCGAGCTGGAGGTCTCGCCTGGGACAATCGCGCTTCGTGTCACGTTGAAATAAAGCGCCTCCATAAAGCGTCCCACGGTTGGAGAAAAAACCTTGTAAAACTGAAAACACCGGTTAAATGATCCGCGCACCACTTCAAGTTTCTAACAATTTCTTTCTTCATTGTTTCCCCTGCTGTTCCTAAGTCACCCCCGCGACACACACGCACTCACACACCTCCCCCCAATACACACCCCTACTGGAAGGCACCCAAGTAAATATGAGTATCAGGAGATCATAACTCCAGATATTGAGGTTTTTGGAGCTCTCTTCCAGATGCTGTGCGGTAATTAAAAAATAGCTTTCATTCTTCCCCTAATTTGTGAAAGTTGAGTGACGCTTTGTTGAATCTCTCCGCTGCACTTCCTCCCGCCTTTTTCTCAGCAGCGCTTTAGCTTTAACACGGTTATGCACGTACGTGGGAACCTTAGGCCGGTGTTGTCGCCCAGTGAAAACTCTGCAGAAGGTTCAGAACTGGCAGCAAAGTGGAGATCCGAAGTGAGTTATTTCCTCGGCTTCTACAGTTTGTGACACTTAAGGAGGGAGGAGGAAAAAAAAAAGAAAAGAAAACCATAAAAATGTGAAGGAATGTGGAGAGGAGAGCAGAAAACAATATTGGTTGACTGAAAAAGTCACAGGTCGTCAAAGTAGAGGGAGATTTATGTTCGGCTAAATGACTTGGCAGTCATCTGAATCATAACTGCAGCACTTTGTGTTTTTCTGTTACGAAAGTGCTTTAATAAAACCAAAAATGTTTGGCTGATTCACAAAACAAGGAGCTTAACTTCATTATGGCCTGCCTCCATAAAAAGTGGGTGCTAATGTGTTTGTCTGTCTGTTGGCAAAACATCTCATGCACCACTGGACAGATTTGATTAAAACTTTCAGAAAGCATTTACTGGATGGGCCTCTATAAATGGTAAACTTTTGGACTTGGAATGATTTAAGATGTCCGCCACAGCTAATCATCCTTAGCAAACACAAAATGGCTACAAAGCAGTCAATTTTTATCGATACTGAGCCAAGATTCATGTGGAGTGGTAGTGGCTAACAACAACATATTCTTGAGTGCTAAGAAATTCTGACCTAATTTTGAAACAGTGAAATTACTCAGCGGTGCCAACCCTGTCTGTCTGTTAGCAAAATATTTCTTAATCCGTTGAGGAGATTTTAATGAAACTTTCAGAAATTTATTGCAGAATGTCCTCCTTCAGCTGATTAACATTTGAAGTTGACCACATTCAAGATGGCGCTCTCAGTTAATCAACTTTATTAAACACAAAAATGGCTATAATTTAATAAATATTGACCCAAACTGTAGTATGGTACTTGATGATTAACAGTTCTCTCTTGTGAAATTAACGTGCATAAAAAATAAGAAATGTAATCAAATGCATATTTTGAGCACAAACAAACAAAAAATCTTAGTTCAGACCTTTGGCACACAAGGCAGAAGTTGATATGCATTCCTTCAAGCCAAACTAGTTGTTAAACATGTTAGTTCACTGTTGTTGTGATGTAAGACTGCTATTCTGGTATCACGGACTAAATTTCTTAAAAACCTACAAAAAACAGTTAGTAATGACTTCACTTTTCAGTGCAACATAATAGAAATGTTGATAAAGTCCCAAAAAATAAAAGTAGCTGAACCTTCTCTGCTAACATGTGAGCTGATTGACAGCAGAGCTGCACGTGCGTGAGGTTTGAGTAGGTTAGGTTATTTGGACAATCCCATCCGACCCTCGATAGATGCACATACTTTATTTGCAGCAAAGCAAAACCGAACTTTCATCACGCTGTGATTCATTGGTGGTCTTCCACAGATGTCAGGAAAGTGTGGTCGAGGTGTGGAGTGGTGGTCATGGTTGTGTTACAAAATTTTGTAAGTGTTTTTTAAAAAAGACAAAACGAGGGTCGAAAGAAAGAAAGAAAGAAAGAAAGAAAGAAAGAAAGAAAGAAAGAAAGAAAGAAAGAAAGAAAGAAAGAAAGAAAGAAAGAAAGAAAGAAAGAAAG